ATGGATCCGTCCTTCTTCTTAACAAAGAGAACGGGTGCTCCCCAAGGTGACACGCTTGGTCGGATGAAACCGAGTCGTAATAGCTCCTGAATCTTAGTCTTAAGCTCTTGCAACTCCTTTGGCGCCATATGGTATGGGGCTTTGGATACTGGACCGGCTCCTGGAATGAGATCGATAGAGAACTCCACCTGCCGGTTAGGCGGTCCTCCTGGAAGCTCGTCTAGAAACACGTCCACATACTCACGAACGACTGGAACATCGTGAGGTGAGCGTGCTTTCTGAGAATCATCGACAAGGCTCACCAGATAACCCTGGCAGTTGCCTCATCGCAGCAACTTAGTGGCTTTTGCCATCGTAACAACATGAGGCAATGAACGATTCCTGGAGCCGAAAAAAGTGATCGACTCGTCTCTTGGAAGATAAAGCTTAATCTCCCGGTCATGGCATTTGATGTCTGCATGATAAAAGGATAGCCAATCCATTCTGAGAATAAGGTCAAAATCTCTCATCTCGAGAACAAACGCGTCGGTAGACAATACTCGGCCACCAATGGAAAGGCTAAGATCTGAAGCTTTAGCAGAAGTCACTATCTTCCGTCCCGAGGCTAAACTCACCTCGAGAGGATTGACAACGGTGACGGCATGAACTCCGATGGTATCAAGACATCGTCGTGAAATGAAAGAATGTGTCACTCCAGTATCGAATAAAGCAAACACTGGAACATTATTAAGAACAACCATCCCTGACATAGTACCTGGTTGCTGCTTGGCCTCTGCCTGATCGACTGCGTAAACTCGGGCCTGCTGTCTGCCCCTCTGCTGCTGCTGAGGCGGCCTCTGTGCCTGCTGACGGGGCTGCTGCTGCTGCGGTGGCTGCTGAGGCTGTTGAGCCTTCTTCAGACAACGGTTCGCGAAGTGTCCGGGCTCGTGACAGTAGTAGCATACATCATGACCAAAGCGACACTCGCCTCGGTGAAGTCGTCCGCATGTCGGGCACTATGGGATTTGCTGTAGCCTCCGTCGCGTCCTCTTATCCGTCGGGGCACCTTTCCCCTTCCTCTTGTTATTCTTCAGTGGCTGGGCAGCTAGTAAAGCTGGTATCAGTGGAACTGAAGATGACTGAGCAGGAACGGATGACTGAGGATGATCACGGACGGCCTCCCTCCTGATGCTGGCGTCCACCTCCTAAGCAATGGAAACTGCACGCGCGTACGTCTGTGTCCCGTGGCCTACAATGTTATGACGGACTGCTGGGTAAAGCCCGTCAATGAAATGTTGCGCTCTCTGGGCCTCCGTGCGAACCAAATCAGGAACGAAAGCTGAAAGTCTAGTGAATTCCCTCTCATACTCGTCAACAGTACGAGTACCCTGCTGGAGCAATAGAAACTAACGCTCCATCTCTGCTTGGTAGTAGGTGGGGTAGTACTTCTCGCGGATTAACTCCTTGAGCATCTCCCACGTACATCCCGCCTTCTCGCTGGGACGCATGCTCCAGTAAGCGTTCCACCAGAGCCTGGCATCACCGGTGAGCTGAAGCTGAGCGCAAACAACGCGATATCTACCAGGGCACTCCATAACCTCGAAGATAAACTCCAGGCCCTAAATCCATTCATCTACGATGCGAGGATCTCCTTGCCCTGAGAATTTCTCGGCATGATAGTCGCGGAACTGGGCGACTACTGTGGCCTG